ACCCTTTTTCCACCCCGGGACCCAATTTTAAAAAAAAAAAAAAAAAAAAAAAAAAAAAAAAAAAATGGAGAGGAGGAGGCAGAGAGATTAACTTAGTTGAAGAAAATCTGTTCATCCAGGCAGATTTGCTCTACCTAAAGAAATTAAATGTCATATAAATGTTACTCTCTACATTGTTAGTGTGTTTCTGTGACTGTAGTTACTCTGTCTTTATGAAGGCATACTGTTCCATTGGCAAGCTTAAAACCAGTGACACAAGTGACACCTATCCCTGCATGGAACGTAGTTCCCAGCAGAAAAGGAGGAAACTATCAGAAAATAACAGGTGGATACATCTCAGAAATAGGTTTGTACATGGTTTCTACTAGGATTCCCTCTAAGAGAATGATAATAAATAGTAGCAGCCTTCAGATATTGAAAATAATTTAATTCAAACTTTTTAAAAATATAAAACACTTCAAGATGATTGTGATATCTCTCTAGAGGGGGGATGAATGAAGTTGAAGTTCTGCTGGATGTTTTACTGGGGCACTTAATTGAGAGTATTTATTAAGTTTACTACTACATAAAATTCCTGAGTGTTAATTTAACACTTCACAGGATGAGAGAGTGGGAACAAGCCCCTGGACTCAAACCTAGCTAATCAGACTGGAAAAAAATGATGCTAACATTAGTGATGGCATGAAATGAGGAATGGCTACAACAGTACAATTCTAGAGCCAAATAATTTAAGCTTTCTGGGTCAAAAAGGGGTTTTGTAATGATCTAGTCCTATAGGCATTATTGGAGAAGGAGGTCTTCAGGAAACTATTTGAATGCTAAGGGTATAAGTTTGACCAGCTAATTCCTAGAAGGGTATCCCATGCATAGGAAGCATGTTTAACATTTTGTTAATCTACTTATAAAGGCCTTAACATACGCCAGAATGCATGTATTTTGGTTGAATGGTTCGTAGTAGAATGACTTTTTCCATGTCTTAGTTAAAATGTTGCAGACAATTTCACACGAGAGATTCTGTGGCAGTAGTTATAATCTGAAGGATACCTTTTGAATTTGTCCTATTTTTGCTTAAAATTGCAGAAATGGATATGAAGACACGGAAGAGGTTGCTTAAGAAAGTCCGTGGAAAGGAAGTGTATATGGCTGTGGCCTACAGTAGAGGCCAGCCAGTTCTTCCACCTAGGATGCAGCACAGTGTTCCTTCAGGACGCTCTTCTCCAATACATTGCTCCCAGCCTGGGAACATGGCGCCGTATGAACAGTACCGTCCGCAGACTTCTCCTCAGAGGCATGGCAGGGGCTATGGAATGCCAAGGTAGGAAGCCTTGGAGCCTGTCAAAGATCAGCATCCATTCATTGTTTGGAGTTGCACCCTTTTTTAGTCCTAGCTAACTTTTAGATGCTTAAAGTTTAACACAAGTGAGTTTTATCTGAGAGCATGTGTAGGCACTTCCCGGTAATTGCACCTTTTACCCTTTAAACTTAGGGGATCTGCCCGATTTATAAACAGGCACAACATGGTTGGCCCTCAAATAGCATTCTACCCCAGTCCAGGAAAGAGATGTTATCAGAGTTATGACAATTTCTCCTACAGGTCCCGGTAAGTGAATATATTAACCTCTTTACAAAACATTGTACCAGAAGCCGGGGGGGAAAATAAGCTTTAAAATGGCATATTATCAGTGGGTATATTGTGTTGAATATTAAGAGATTTTTCCAAATTTGTCATGATTAAAATTGAAAGCTGGAAATTTGATGAAACTCCAGTTTGGTTGTCTTTGTCCTTTTTTTCTTCCTTCCTTTGCTAAAGTTCATACAGTCGAAGTCGCCGGCAGATGCAGTGTGTGAATAAGGAATGTCAGTATGGATTTGTACCAGAGAATGGAGAAGAGCCTCAAGGTTTGGAAGAAACCATAACTTTCTATGAAATTGAAGAAGGGGATGAAACGGCGTTTCCTGCTTTACCAGTAAGTCATGAACTAGAGGCTTCCTTCTTCATTTTGATCAATGTTTTTAAAGTAAAAGCATATTTTGTACAAATATGCAAGTTAAGTTTTTTGGTTTGTTTTAAACAAACATGTAGGCCCCTATAGTTACATTTATTATGCAATTAACTGGTTAATCATGCAATAAACTTAGACCAGCCTTAATGTGCAAAGTAATACTGGCCCCTAGTCAAAGTAATTGTTGCACAATTAACTAGTTATTTACATAATAAATTTAAACCAGCCACATGTGCAAAATAGTTTATTGCATGAGAAATGACTAGCCTGCTATAAAAATAGTCAACTGGCTATAAAGTTAATGCTTGAAAATGTGTAACAATTATATAGCTGGTTTCTATCCAGCTTTAATCTGAACGTGTAGCAGGGCTTGTAATTTCCTGTTCCTTGGAATAAACTTTTTTTGAGCTTAGGTTCATCTTTGAAAGATGTGCAAGGGAATGCTTTATGTGTTGCCATGCTGATATTCATAGCTAAGGAAAATGAACATGGATTCTGTAGGGAGACTTAATTCAGATTAAATTTGTCTGTTTGAATTTTTCACCTTTCTGCCCTAAGCCTTACCATGCATCTGTTGCATCAATACCTGCCTTTTAGCATCTTGCTTAGTTGCAAGTTATTGCCCTAATCAAAACGTATTATGCACAAGCTCTATTTTTTTTATGCAAAAGGACAGCTAAAAACTCCTAAATTTGGCTTATTCTTTAATACCTCCCACATTCCTATTCCTATACAATGAAATGTACCACAGAATGCCCTTTTTAAATTGGTCATGAGTGAAGATCCTCTTACAAACTGGCAACTTTGCCATTTTTGTTGCAATGAATTTTAGACGTGCAGATTTCAGTTATAAATCTGCCTTTAACTGAATTCCAGAAAAGAAGAAAACTGAATTTTGTTTTGGCAGCCAGTTTTCTATCCCTTCTTTTGGCTCCGAGCTCAGTCTGTGACCTTTTACTTGGTATCTTGGATAAAATCTTAAGCAATTTGGATGTGTTATTCTGCAATGTTGTTTTCAGACATGGAATCAATAATGGTTAGAAGAAGTGGTATTTTTTTCCTCTTGCATTGTTTCTCATGTTCAACCAACCATTTGGCATTGCCCTTAATGTTGAAATTTTTTTTGTTTTCACCATTTCTTCCCCTGTTCACCACTGTACTTAGTAAGTGGACTTTCAAGTTGAAATCACTCTGGGAGAAGTGGTGTTGCTTTTGGGTTACACCGAAGACATTGTTGACATAAAGGCAGGCTGCACCCTTCTCTCCTGGTGACTTTATGGCATAGCAAATGAACAGCAGCTTGATTTTCCCCCCCACACACACACACACACTTTCCTACTCCTCTCCAAAAGTGTGTGGTGGGGTTGGCTGGAATACTAGGTCTCATTCTTGTATGTTAAAGGTGAAGATTTTCTCTCTAGTGACTTCAGTATCTCTGGACAGTGGTATTAATGGAACTGTTACTTTCATAGTAATCCATTAAATATCTTGTGTCTTATACCATTTCCTTCAAAGCCAAGTGGTTTACATATATACAATACACTGATAACTGGCAGTCATCAGTTTCTCTGTTTTGCAGTACTGTTGAGCAGCTTTCATGCGTTCAAGGTAGAATGGGAAAAAGCCACCTAATGAAATCAGCAATGAGGCGTCACTTAAAATATTTTTAGATAAATGTTGTCTAGCTCACTTTATTTTTCACAGAACTTTTTATAGAAGATAGCAGTGAGAGGATTCGGGTCACTTTTAAATTAGTTCAGAGTTGTGTTAACTTTCTTTCCAATGTCCAGTGACCAGTTTCCAGCTATTAGCCATATTCTCCTTCTCCCAAACTTCCAGAGTGGCCTAGGAGGTGCACTGAGGAACTGTTTCCCCTTTTTTTCTCCCCCCAGTCTCTGCTCCTTCCCCTCCCCCAAACAGTGCTAATTCTATAATTTGCTCAATAGAAAATGAGTATTGCTAGCATTAAACTTCCAAAGAGATCCGTGTTAAATACCTTGGAGTGACCAGTATTTAAAATAAATGGAGGCTGAAAGTAAAAACTGCATCTGCTCCAGATCCTACTCATCTGGTCTTTCATGTTTTGTGAGAGCTGGAGGGAAGAGGTCTCATAACCCTGGCTAATGCTATCATTTTGGTGAACTATATGTAGATTCCCTTCAATCACAAATTCAAATACTGCTTCAACCTTCATCCGTCTTGTACCATGTCACTTTCTGTGACTCTTTTGTAGGTTACATTAAACAGAGCTGACGCTTCCATTTCTGAGCATTGGTCAAAGTTTTTAAACCCATCCCTGCTTCCCTGTACTGGAACAAGAAATTTGAAATGCTTTAAAAAAACATGAAGTTGCATTTTTAAATGTCGTCATGATTTGGGAAAAGATCTGTGCCCTACAAGTGAGGCTGCACTGACCTCATCTGCCAGATTTGGTAGGACCTGGGATGACAACTCCTAAGTAAAGGAGCACTGGTATGGATATGGCTTCACATCCTAGGTCAGTGTTATAAGCATCAGACTACAGAATGTGAGAAGTGCTAAGGGAAGGAGAAAAGTGTGAGGAAAAACTTCAAATACCATTTACTTGGAAATATTCCAGAAAGCTCTACCATTATGCAAGCTCTTACCTAATATTCACAAACATGGTTCTGTGACTTTTTATCAAAGCAGGTTGTGACCTAATCTTGACCAAAATATACTTGCCAGAAAGGCCTATGACCATCAGTTAAGGGCATTGTAATAGGTATTTTCTGCTGAGGCAAGAAATACACCAACCCTCTGGCTAGGGATAGAAGTTGCACAGCAACTGGTATAAGAGATCAGAAATTAGTTCAAATCTGTAACACAACAGAAGTTCAGTGCACATAACCCCCTTTCCAAATGGCAGAAATAGGTATAAGATGAACTTGGATGGATGCAATATCAGACTTGACTGATTTAGGTTAAATCTGTTTGTTGAACTTCTGTTCCAGATCCTCTTCCAATTCAGGTAACTCTCACTCCCCCAGCATCACAGAATACTTTGCACCTCCCCTGTAGACCCTCCCTTGCAGGGGGGTGGGCTAGCTTTGGCCCAAGCTGTCTGCTCCAGCCAAGCAGAGAGGCATGGTCTAGCACCTCCCAACTTCTGGCCTGGGCCACTGCGAGCATGTGGCTGCATTTCTGTAATCAAAAGTGAATGTCTGTTCACTTGCTTACCAGTTCAATCTCTGCAGTTTAGACTAACTTACAAAAATGGAATCAACTCTGCCTTTGGCTTTTTGACTATCTGTACTTAGCCTCTCTGGCTGTTTTTTGAGTTCTCATCAGCAGGATTTTAATTTAGTTAACTGAGGAAGCATTGTCACCACTATCCAATCCTGTGCCTTTTGAAAACATGAGGAAGCTCATGGTACATGCCCTTATGGCTGCTGCTATCTAAAGTATTCCAAGCTCTAGTTCATGAAGCATGTGTGGATATAACGGTATTCATGCTGATCCGAGGCCAGAGAATCAGCAGGATAAGTATCCGTTCTTTTCATGTATATTTGATCCTGCTGTATTAGTTGATGTTCCTCTAATGTAGCTTTGGTTGGAAAGAAGTAGCTTATCTGTATTGGGTAGAGAGTACCCAATTTGGGATCAGAGAAGTGTTTAGAGATGGCATGAAAAGCTGAGCTACATGCATTATGAGCAGGGATCCTGGTTTTCTATATTTAAATTGCAAATTCTCATATTTGTATTTTTTTTAAATAAACCCCAAATCCATGTTTTCCCAAGATTAAAATTAAACGCCACTAATATATAAGGTATCAGTGGAACATAATGTTTTGTTGATACAGTAACAACTTTGAAGCAGTGGTAGGCTTCTAAACTTCTTCAATTCCTATAATTTAAAATAAAGTCTAAATACTTTTTTTAAATTTTGGTGTTTGGATTTTGGCTTCTTATCATGGAAAATCAGAGCTCCTCCTGCACCTTTTTTGCTTACCAGGGCACAGGTCCAGCTGTAGGTGTCTGTCCCAGTCCGCTCCGCTCCCCCCCCCCCCCCCCCCC